GAAAGAGAATAGCCTCCTAAAAAATATTTGAAGAAACAGTATCTGAAGTATTCTCAAATTTGTCAAAAGTAAAAACCATGCTTTTAACAAAAACTCAGCTAAACCACATAGAGTGATTGCAAGGAAAAAATGTCAAGGCATCAAACTTCTAAAAAAGATAAAGAGAAAACCTTGACCACAGCGAGAGGAAAATGACACATGCACAGGGAAATGTTTCAAATAATGTCTGCACTATCTCCAGAAAACACTGTTCAAAGACATTGTAACCTCTTTAAAATGCTTAAAAAAAAAAAAAAACACCACCTGTAAAGCTCAAAATCTATATTTAGCGAGCATTTCTTTTGAGAATGAAGGAAAAATAAAGATATTTAGAAACTCCAAGAAAACTAATACATCATCTGCTAACCTGTTCTTCAGGCACAAGCCAAGAAGTTTGTTGGACTGCAGTGGAATGATACAGGAGGTGAACAGGATCTTCAGGAATGAATGAGAGAAATATCAGAAATGCTAAATCCCGGCAAGCACAAAGTATTTTCCCCTAATTTTCGGGAGGCACATAAGCATTTAGAGCCAAAATTACTCTTTAGCATTGCTTTATGTGTAATACCTGTACGTGACATAGACACGACTGTAGCAAACCAGAGCGGAGGAAGACTTGATTCCTACCATTGCAACATTCAATACTAACTCAAAAGGGCTCTGAAATACTAATAATGCATATTTGCATTGATAGCTACCAATTAAATACTATAGTAAGGCAAACAGCTATAGCTAAGAAGCCCACAAATACATTGAAGTTGAATTATACAAAGATATATCCAAAATAATCCAAGACTAAATCAAAAACGCAAATAGAAAGTTTGCTAAGACAATACTGTATTAAGAAAGTGATTAAAATTTTCCATTAAAATGTTGCCAGGGCTAAATGGTTTCACAGTGAATTTCTCAGAAGTCTGTTTTTTAAAAAGGAGGTAATTCCATTGCTACTTACATTCTTCCAAAGTAAAAGAAGACAATCTCTGCCATCTGTTTCCTGTGTCAGCATAACTTCTGCACAGTCGATTTCAGGGTTTGGCCACACTTTGGGGCCTCGCTTCTGATGGAGTTGGCCTTTCTTATATAGGTTTTTCTTTTCTTGCTTTTTGAAGATTCCTGCACTCACCTCATCCCACCCTCATATTCTCACAATATCTAGCATTTGAAGTGTAGCAATCACTTACCTGAGATCTCATTTTTGAGAAGTTGTTCATCTCTGGAGTAAATGATAGCCTATTTGCCATAAAGGAATGGAAAAGGGACTGCAGAGCAGAAGAGAGAAATTAATATGCATTTATCTCTGGTTATGTGCTGGCAAACCCACCTACTTATTCTCTCCCTCTCGTGGGAGAAAAGTAGCATTACTCCTACTTTTATGGATTTAGAAACTGAAAGTCAGAGAGCCTTTAAAATACAGGACAAACACAAATCCCACCTACTGCGAGGTTGTACAGTTATGAAAGGTAGGTCTACAACTAGAAGCTAGCGCTTCAGACCAATCTCAGGGTATAGGTTTTCTACTTTATTCCAACAGGCAGAAAGATTTTTTGAAATTGGAAGATTTCAAAGAGATTGAAAGATTTTTTGGATTGAAAAATTTCTGTCTTGTGATTCTATTACTTCTAGAAACTTGAAGAAGTATGACTTTTTTCAGTATTAGTGTAGCCTCTGCCCCTCCTACTAAGAAAGCTCTCTTTTGCTGTTAGAAACCTTATTAGGGTCATGGAGCCACTGAATTGTCTAAGAAGTGAGGTTACTCTTCTATAAAACCCAAGAGTTTGTTTCTCCTCTCTGTGCCTCCCACCCTACCCCAGTGCTAGGGGCCCAGGGCAATCCTACTGAGCTACATCCTTTGTCCTTCCCACTCTTATAAAAGACAGGTTCTCCTTAAGTCCCTAAATTGCCCTAGGTGGACTCAAACTTGTGATCCTCCTGCCTGAGCCTCCCAGAGTGTTAGGATCACAGGCCTGCTCCTCTGTGGCCAGCTCCCTTTCTGTGCCTTTCAGCCTGCTGTCCTTTCCTCACTGCTGGCTCTCGCTAAAGTAGAGTTTAGAGTTGCCAACACCTTTATTCAACAATGGGAACAATAAATTTGTAGGTTAATAGTTTTTGTGCTAAATACAGTGGTGAGCTTGGGGATGCCGTACTGCATTTCTTGGCCACTGGCTGCTTACATTTTAGTAAAATAAAACTATTTAATCCAGGTGTTCTCAATCCTGGCCACAGTAGAAATACCTAAATTTTTTTCTTTTTTGCCTTTAATGTGTGGTTCCTTCTATAGATTGTAATTTTGGGAATCTGGGGTGCAGTGGGGTGTGAGCATTTAAAACCTCCTCAGGCAATCCCCAAACCACCAATTAATTAATTAATAAAATGGTACTGAGTCTGAGCCGGGGCCTTCACATCGAGCTACATCCCCTGTCATTATAATAATAATAATTTTTTGAGACAAGGTCTAGCTACATTGCCGAGCCTGTGCTTAAATTAGTCCTAATTCTGCCTCAGCCTCCTAGAGGGCTGTGATTGCAAGCAGCACCTGGCTTACATCACTTTGACATGCTACTCATCACAGGATTTAATGAAAAAAAAAAAAAAAAAAAAAAAAAAACCAACTTTGGGGTTTTTGCCAAAAGAATGTTTTCAAACACAGAAGGTCAGATGGTACGGCTTTTGGATAGAGGGGATACTCTAACTGCGAGCTCCTTCCGTCACCCCTCATTTGTACTGTAGAGCAGCTCAACCTCTGCCAATGACCAAGGTCAACTTGGCCCCAAATCTTTCTGATCAAAATTCTCGTGAATCTTGATGGCAGATCACATAGGGGCACTGGTTACCATTCAGGCTGTGCTGTCTGCATATTGTCCTGTTTAATTCTTACATCGACCCTGTGAGGCAGGCATGATGATTTCCAGGAAGGTGGGTAGCCTGCTGGGTGTCATGGAGCTGGACAGTGAGAAGGCCAGCGCCAAAGCTCTGCTCTGACCCACAGTGCCACATACCGGGAGCCACGGTGTGGTACTGGGCAGAACACACACAATTCACAGGCTCTGCAGATTCATGTCCAACTGCCACTGAACTCAGGTCAGCTGCCCCTGCATCTTGACTTGGGTTGGGCTCAATAAAAAAACAACCCCCATCCTCCCTTTCTCAACATCGCTTCTCTTGGAACATAGCAGCATTTCCACCCCCCACTATTTTTTCAGAAATTAGGCCCTTTATATCTCCTTTTATTTCTTTTTCTTGCTGAGAGACTGCTGGGGAATGTTAGGACTGTATAAAATTCGAAGTGACTGACTCAAATCTGTCATCAGTCTTCTCTATTCTGTCTTGTACTTTCTTCTCTCTTTGGAATCTAGATTGTTAGGTTTTTTAATCAAAACTTTGTCATAAAGGATAGGGTAAATTTATTACACTACAGAGTGAATGACTGATAGGCTTTCATGTGCCACCTTAGCCCGGATGGACATATTTCAACAAGGGACAAGGAGTTCAATTTGGGTGTCCGATACATGTGGATTTGAATCTTGGGCTGCTTACTGGTTATGGAACATTTGGCAAGCAACCTAACATCTTTTAGCTTCAATTTCCTCATCTCTAAAAAGAGAATAGTACTTCAAAGTGTGGCGATAAGAAATAAAAAAGATCTGAGACTGTGCCTAGCACGTAGTAGCTGCCTGTTAAATGTTTATTCCTTTTACTGCACTACCAGAGTCCATGCACCAGGCAGGAGTAAAGCTACTTTGGGGTATTTTGATTTGGAAATGCCTCAATGGTATCCAATCTCCTACTGCTACACTGTAGACTATACGTGTATTGTTGAGGAACACGTTGAGCTATCTCTGTCTGTCTGTCTATCTGTCTGTCCTTTCTAGGATGCATTGTGTGGAATACAGGCTTCTCATCAGCTCTTCCTTATCGCCAGGTGTGGTGGAACACACCTGTAAACCTAGTTGATTACAGGAGACCCAGGCAGGAGAATTTCAAGTTTGGCTCCAGCCTGGGAAATTTAAATTTAGTGAAACCCTGTCGCAAAATAAAAATAATTTTTAAAAGGTTGGGCATAAATTCCAGTGGTAGATGCTTGCTTATCATGCACAAAGCTGTTTAAATTCCCAGTACTGCAAAAAACAAATAACAACAACAACAAAAAAGCACCTCTGAAACAGTTGTGAACGTTACTACCTATCCTCAGATGGCACTAAATATTTGGGCATTACTAGCATTTTGAAAGAAATGTCTACCTTTGGTCTTTCTTTCCATAGAGTTTGAAATGCAGTTCCTCTGAATGAAAAACTACAGGCTGTGTTCACACAAAATATGGCTGAAATGCAAATATATTTCAGAGTTTGTGCCTTTTCCCCATTGCATTAAAAAGTGACTGTGATTAAAGAATAATGCAAAGCCATTAATTGCCATACTTTCAAGAAAGCTTTGTGCACAAGTTTGACTTTTATTATCTGCCTTTGTCAGCCTGTAAAACATCCCATTAGACTTTTTTCTAAGGCAGGGAAATCAAGCTGACAATGGAAACTAAATTGTTTAATTGGTATTAATTTTGAAAGTTTGAAGTGCATTTTTTTTCATAATTGGTTCAGGAAAAGAAAATTGGATTTGGATTTGAGAACTAGTTTGGATGAGTTAAGGACTGACAGGGAGCCTGCAGCTACATCCACATTCTGATGCTGCAGACCCTGCCCAGTGGCCTTAGGCTTGGACTTCAGTTTAACAGGGTCTACAGGCACAGCTTTGAAGCCATTGGATTCAAACCCCAGGGAGGCCGCCTCTGGAGGTAGGTGTTGGCAAGCCCTGTAATCCCTGCATGTCTCAATTGCCTCATCAGTAAAAGCAGCAGAATGACAGCACCTCAAAGGGCCTCGGTGACAGTGAATAACAGAATTTATGTAATGCCCTTATCACACTGAAGAGAAGAGTAAACGAACGCCGCTTCTCTTTCTCTTCTCTAGGCAACCAAATGCAGATATCTGATAAAACAAAATTAAAGTGAGCATCAGGGAAGAGCTGACTGGAAGGATGGGTCACAGAAAGTGTGTGGAAGCCTCCATCTTTGAAACCCAAAGTGCAAAAGGTAAAAGTTTCAGCACATTTGCAAATGTACCTGATGGCAAAAGCTGTAAACATGAGCTTCAGCACCAGCCCTGGCAAGACATGCCACTTACCTGGCCTGGCAAGGTTAGCTACCATCAAATGTCGCAGTCCTAGCAGAGGATTTGATACACTAATTCAAACCAAGGCAAGGCAGTAAATATCTTGTGGAATAAACAATGATGGGTTATGAATTTTTGAGACATGTTTTCTGCACTTTTTTTTTTCAACTAGTGTTTCCTGGCTCCTGAACACAAGCCGACCTCATCTATTTCCTAAGATAATCCATTATAAATTATGACAGGCTCCCCAGCCTGGCGGGCAGCGCAGCCTGATGAGCTGCCCTGGTCTCACTTTTCTGTCCTGGTCATCTCCGACAAGTTCCATGTGTGACCGGTCAGGAGACGGCCAATTCCAGTCCACGCATTTTTTAGATGAGCTTTATTTTATTTTTAATTTCCCTACAAATGCAAGCCAGGCGCAGATTTCGTCAGTTACAGACATAGCTCTCTAATCTGTGCCGCCCTTCCGTAGCTCGAAGTACCAAATGAATGAAGGTCCAGTTACATATAAAAGTGATTATGATCAGCGAAATGTCTGCCCAGAGCGTCCTCCCAAAAAAGGACAAAGATTCGAGGCGCCGACGCTTCCTCCTGGCCATCTTGGGGCCTCGCACTGTACATGAGAATGACCCCAGTCACAACCTGCTAAGACCTCACGCTGCCTTGAGATTTTACAGTCATGTGGCCTCTGGCTACCAAGCAGCACGGGAATCAATGGCTGCCAGTTTGAGGTGAAATTATTTGCCTTCTGTCTTCATCTGACAAAATTTCTTTTGGAGAGACCTGATTTCATTTTCTTTAAAACTTATTCCACCTTTCTGAGCATTTGGCTTTCACGTAGAGGCAAAAGATTCCTCCAACTCTGTGTCTTGCCTGGGAGTTGGATGTGGTTCACATCCATGTCAGCACAGTTCAAGTCTGTGTGGACTTTGTTTGCCCCTCTAATCAGCTGGGCCAGAAGTACACAAAGCAGCCAGTGAGCACAGACGGGAAAGGCCTTTTCCTCTACTGACAAACAGCTCACAGTCTAATTTAGGGAAGTGGGACTATCCCCAAGGACGTGTTCACATATCATAAGTTACCATATCCATAGATACGAATAAGACTGAAAGAATAAGGAATAACCTAGCAGAAAGAGGACTGGCGATCAAGGGGCTGGGTTTTGCCACCAAAGAACTATGTGACCAAGAGATGGAGGGGTAAGGAAGGGAGGAAAAGAAAAAAAAAAAGATTAAGGTTTGTTAACTCCCCAATGTTGAATGTAGAATTCAGTCATTATGTATTGCAAACATATACCAATAAAAATGAAAAAAAAATTTTAAAAGTACGCAATCTTGTGTACTTCATTGCTTCTTTTGGCACTAGGCCCAAGAGTGCAAAATCTAGACTGTTCTGGGCTTCTGTGACAAATGACAAAAAATGTGAGGAAATCAGGAAAGTTTTCCTCCTTTCCCTTGAGGTTTCTAAAATGATGATCACAAAAGCATCACCAGGCCGAGCCCCCAGTTAGCAGATTCCTTCCAACTTTGCAGAGGCCTAGGAAAATGAAGCAAATGGTGCTCAGCCTTTTGGTGGAGCTCTCCACGGCAGGGAAGCACTTTTACAAAATGCCCAGCAAACTCTCCTAGATCTGAGCTCTTGGCAGAGTAGGAAGGGGTGAAGCTGCTGCCTCCACCGGCCAGAGGCAGGAGTCAGCCTCGAGCCCATTGGCCCCCACCACCCGCCAGGCTGGGGCCCAACTACCCGCTGGGACAAGCCAACCTTGGTAGTCACCCAACTTGAGAATCTTTTGAGCTCTTCCTGTCGCCATGCCCCACCCCGTCCCATTCCACCCTCGCCTCTTCTTTCTCCTCCCTGGCAGCCACTCTGTTTTTCAGATGTTTACCCAGTGGATGACAGCCATGGGGGTAGGGGGCACAGCACTCTGGGAGACATGGCTCCCCGAGGTCAATTCCAATGGATGCCTGCTCTTCTCCTGGCAGACCCTATGTGTGCGTGTGCATTTGCTCTAGTGGACAGTGGTCTACTTCCCTGGCTTGCAATGTCATTAATCCTAGATGAGCCCAAGCCTGGTGCCTTTTTTGGGAACATGGGTATCATCTGTGCTCCAAACACCCCATCTCAGTGGTCTCAATTTGACCAGGACATCCGGATTTTGTAACATCATTTTGTAACTGTTCCCCCAACCCTGATTCCATCCTTCAGAGCTCTGAGGACATGTAACTAGAAGCCACTCCAGTTACTCTCCCCCTCTGCGGTGGACCCGTGTCACCTGCCGTCCTGGCATCATCACCCAGGCATGCACTGTCACACTCCCAACCGGAATGTCAGCTTGCTGTTTGAGATTCACACCGACACTCGGTCCCCAGAGGACTCCTCCGGAGCCAGGGCGGCCTGCGCTTGGGAACACATGAAAGCACAGGAGTCCCCTGGCTTCTTGGCAGCACTTCAAGCGCTAACCCAATGAAGAGATCTTGACAGCATACTTGTAAACTCCACAGGCCCCCAGGGCTCAAACACCACGATATTTATGCTAGCGGGTGGAAAGCCAAAACAGTTGGGTTGTTATGCAGACAGAGGACTCAGAGTCAGACCAGCATTTCTGACACCTGTTAATTGGCATTTGAAAGAACTGAGCTGAGGGGGATGGGGGCCTTTGGAGCTGCTGCCAACCTGTACCTGAACAGCAGGGAGCCCAGGGAGGTTCTGCACACCCTCCCCCCACCAACTGGTAGGAGATTCCCGGGGGAGCAGGGTTGAGCACGGAAGTCCAAAGTTTACTAGAAAGGATAGGCAGAGAAAGGAAAAAAAGAGGAGGGAGGGTGGGAAGAAAATGACCAGGAGAGAAAGTAAGAAACGGAGAGAGAGAGGGTGGGTATTTTTAGATTTGCTAGCACAGAGTTTTATGCTGGAGACACCCTGGTCCCTGTTTCTGCAGTACCAGTGCCAGTGGTGCAGGTGAAAAATGCAGTCCTGTCCCCTTTCCTCCTGAGGCCACACTTTCCATCCTCTTTCCCAAGGTCCACTCCAGGGAATCCTTCTCCAAAGACCTCCTCTCTGCAAACCCAGAGGTCTGGGCCCTCTTCCTTCTGGAACTCCTATTGGAACCCTCACTGGACACCCCAGAATTCCTGTGTGTGCCTCGCACATCTCCTCTCTGATGTCACCCTATGCCACCCCAACTCCCTGGGATCATATTAGAGACCTTTTCTGGCCTGCGGTGCCTGCACAACTTCAGACTTAGAGTGGTTTCTCGATGTCCACAGATGAGAGATTGGTTTCCTCCCTCTCTCTGAGTGTCTTTTTCAGTTCTAGGCACCTTCTACCCCATCCATTTCCACTCAGCAGAGCCCTGACCGTCCCCATGCAGCCTCCAGCTGGTTAACAGAGCTCTGTGAGTCTTTCCTTACATCTGTCCCACTTTACCCTGTTTGATCTTTGGTGAGACTAAGTTGAAATGACTTAGTAAAAATGGCTTCGTATTTCTTTATTTTTAGTACTCAGAGAATATCCACACCATCCCTAGTTATGAAATGACTCGTGTTCCAAAGTCAGCTTGCATTTAAATCTGGAAATCCATAGAAATTTTATAAATGTATTCACTCATCAAGTACATTTTGAGCACTATCACAAAGATAACACTACTTTAGGTGCTGGGAAATCTATAGAACACAAAGAATGTAAAAATCCATGTCCTCAGAGATTGATTTTATATTCTGGTCAGGTAGATAATCCACAAATAAGCAAACAAAATATCTAAAGTGCCACATGATCCTAAGTAGCACAGAAAAGAATGAAATGGAGAAATGTATGGGGCGGAAACTGGAAATTTGTTGATACAGAAAGACCTTATCTGAGAGAGACTTGAAAGAGTGGAGTAGTCGAGACCCCAGCTCAAAGCAAGATTAGTGTTAAAGAACAGCAGAAAGGCTAGAGGGGCTGGAACAGGACATAAATGGGGAGAGAAATCTATGGGTGAGTTTTTCCAGCCAGCCTAATAGCAACCTCTTGAGTCCATAAAATGCCAAACTGAAATTTGAATTCAATAATAAACATTTACTGAATGCCTAGTACATGCAGGATTGGTGCAAGGTGCTGGAACTAACTCTTTCAACTCCCCTTAGCCATGGTTCTCTGGAAATATCCCTCAGAATGTCACCTGAAGAGTGCCCCTCTCAGTGGCAAAGGGGCTAGAAGATAAGACTCAATGACCTACAGACAAAAATGTTTTTAGAGACAACTTATAATATTAGAACTATTCCTTGATTTAGTCTCAGATATTTGATTTGTTGCTGACTTTTTTGTGTGTCCCTGAACAAGTTATATAACCTTCGTGATCCTTGATTTCCTGGAGATGATAATAACTGTTTTGCTTTCCTGTGAAATTTAAATGAAGTTAGTGTACATGAAAGCCTCATAAAACCTGCTAAAGTGACCTGCTGATCTGCGTTGTGATTTTAGGTGAATCACTCTGTCTTCCACATCAGGGAATTAAGGGGTGAAGGCTCAAAAATAGAGCTCTCCGAGAATCCTTTCTTATATGGAAATGACTGAATAAGTTTGATGGTAGCTATCTGATCTCTTCCAGAAGTGGCGAAGGGGCAGGGCAGTTTCAGAACAGAAGAGCTGAGCTAAAAGATCTAGATAGAGAGAGATTGATGAAGAGGAAAACGCTGACTCTAGAAAGGCTATGCAGTGGAATCTGAGGAAAGGGATGAAATTCATTTTTAAAATGACAAGCAAGTGAACAGACCAAACAAATCACTGCCCGGCGTAAAATCTCATTTTCTTGGACATTATTCTTTTCTTTGCATTTCCCCGCATTTTTCAGGGGTCATGCCTCCGGGTAACCCTCCAAGACACTCAAAGGCTCTCTAACTTAATCCTCTTTCATGACACAGTTTTTCAGATATCTGAAGACAGGTTTCCACACTCCTGCCTAACCCTAATCCTTTCAGTTTAAGATCTGCCTTAATCCTGTGTTCTGCAATTTCACTATGAAACAGCTGAACTTGTTGTTTTAAATTGATTTTCTTAAATTTTGCTCTGTACACAGTGTATATTTTTTTTTTCAACCTCAGGATTTATCATCTTCTTCCATTCTTAAAAACGCTTAGCCATTCGTTCCCTGAGGATTAGATACTCTTGTTCTTTAGTCGGAGTGACTAAACCTGTTAGAACCTCTCAATCAACATTCTGTGTCTTTCACATTGTTTTTTATCTTAATCTCTCGGGCTGTGTTCTGAATGAATTCATCAGAATCATCTTCCAATTCACAAATTCTTTGACCATGATTTATGTGGTGTTTACCTCATAATGTTATATTTTGTTCTATTTATATATTTTAATTCCCTGTTACTACATAAAAGTTGAGCTCCAATTTACCTGTTCCTGCTCCAGGAAATTTGACTTCTGGCTACGGATTACTTGAGCTTTCTATTAAGTTTTTATTTCACAGAAGTATCTAAGAGTACTGATATTTGCAGAAGTTCTTCTTTTGTATTTTGATTATCATAGTTAGTTGTTTTCAGGACAAGTTCTCCAGAATGGAGACTTAACCTTGAATATCTTTCTGTCATCTTTGAACGGATCTCATAGTGCTGACCTGAGCTTTCCTTCGCAGCATCCCTGTCCTCTGCATTTGTACATGATGACCAGAAATGAGTGGGGGGTACTTTAGTGGGCACTCTGAAGGTTAATCCCAGCAAGACACAACACCAAGCAAAAGGATTTTTAACAACATGCGCTTTTTCATAGAAGCATCTGTGAGAAGAGAAAAAGGAGACACCAAGAGAATTGGGGTCAATTAGTGGCTGGGCTTACCTGTGTAGGGCTTAGGGTGTCATCTATACAGCACGTAGGGCTTAGGGTACAGGACACTGATAGGGCACTAGGCTCATCAAATGCTTGTATACCTTTCATGCTGGGACAGATGTTTCTCTATAACTTTTGTATGTGCTGCTAAAACTTTTCTCAAATACTACTGGCTTCACTAATGAAAATGTATTTCACCACACTTCACGCTGATTAACTCTCAGAAAAAGAATTAGGTCTGGAGAGCTGGAGTATTTCCCATTTCTTCCTTTGTTTGCAACTTCCCATAGGTGTCTTCTGGTTTTCACTAATGGGGATCGCCTCTAAATTACCCTTACATATACACGTCCTGCTCTCCACCCTGTAGTATTTTAAGGGAGAGTTGCGGGTATTAGAACAAGATGGTTAGGAGAAGACTGGCAAAACCTACCTCTTTCAAGCAAAATCTGAGGATAAGTGGAAAATTGGAGTCACTTGTTTAAAGAGGAACAAAAATCCTATTTGGGGCAAGGAAATGACTCAGTTTCCACTCAAATTTGCTCATTTCCACTGTCATCTTATTCAGACTTCCAGAGAATTTTCTGATATGAAAAATTCCCATGTATACTTGCTACTTGAGGACTAGGGCAGCAGGATTCTATCAAGACAGCGAAACTGTGCCTATACCTGCAGTCCGTCCCATTTCTTGAGTTCGGTGCACTTGAAACATGATGTTCCACCTTACGCTATACTTTGCTCTGCCTCTAAAGTCTCTCTAACTTTCCATGTTAGTTTAGTGGAAAGATCTTGAGCTTTACCTATTGACATATTTAGAACAAAGCAGGGGGTTGGGTGGGGTTTGGGATTCAGGAAGCCAGCACACGTGCTGGTCTACCACATGAGAGGTGACACTAGTGAGTGTCCACATCACTTTCCCTTCCTGGTATGGCTAAATACTTTATCACTTTTGACTGTTCAATTGACAAACCATGCCATTTAGGAGCTAAATGTCTGGACTCAAGCCTCTGTTGCCATTTACCAGCTGGGTGTATTTGGGTGACTCACCTGAAATTTCTCTATCCCAATTTACTAATTGGTCAAATGGAGCTAGTGAGTCTACTCTGACTCACAGGGTGGTAGTTGTATCAAATGGAAGACAGAGCAGCTTTTGCTTTGTTATAGTGCATTGTATGGGTACAAAGGAATGCAGGCCTGTACACATATTCAGTCATTTCTTGTGAACGTCCCTTATCTTTCCATGTAGATATGAAGATTTTACAGAGGAAAGGCTACAGCTACACGTGTCGATGGTGCCTCCCACAGCATCACATTCCTATTGGCACAGAATGGGCAAATGAGGTCCTCTGATAGGAGAAGGAGGCAAGGACTTGGCTTGATGTCATGCAGGATGCTTTGCAAAGAACAGTCAGCACCACACATTTAACAAAATGTGACCAAAGGTGTACTGTGGTCAAAGTTCTGTGTTTGAACAGAGAGAGAGAAAGAGAGAGAGAGAGAGAGAGAGAGAGAGAGAGAGAGAGAGAGGAGCTTTGTGCAGAAGGTGATGCATGAATTGAGTTTTGAAAGATGAATGTGGTGATCTGAATGTTCTCATCCCCCTCAAATTCATAAGTTGAAACCTAATCCCCAGTGTGACAGTGTTCAATGATGGGATCTTACAATGTGACTAAGTCATAGGACAGGGCCTTGATGAATGAGATTTGTGCACTTCTGTATAAAGGCCCAAGGGACCTGTTTGACACTGAATGTGAGGACACGAGAGTCCTCATCAAACACTGCTTGTGTTTTGACCTGGAACTAGATGTTACTAGAAAAGGTGGTCTATTCCCACTTTAGGTTTCTAAGGAGGATTTTTCCATTGCACGCTCCTGCCTTCTTTCCACTCGGAGAGCTGCAGTGACTTTTCTGATCAGCCAACTGGAGAGAAATAATTGGGCATGTCCTGCTCAGCCCTGTCTTTCTTCCTCTTGGGACCAGAAGGTCAGCACATAGCAGCCTCTGCTCTTCTGTATACCAGGCCACATGCCTGGGACAGCAGGTGACACTGCCTTATTTGACAAATCAGTTGGCAGGTCAATTAGGCACTCATGCTAAGCTGTGATTTTCAGTTTATCAGTAATAGGCCAAAGGGCCCTGTTTGAATCCTCTGCTTTATTTTGCAATCTTGTAACACCCTTATGCCCTGGATGTCCATCACATAGATAAGGCCCAGAACATGGAGGGCCATAATCCTTTGTACAGAAACTTGAAAACACCTGGCACAAAATGTCACCACTATAATGACTGCGAGGATGACAGACCTACAATAGGAAATGGCACCTACAGCTTTTGTAGACAAACCATGGATCTGGGTGTCCAGTTAATCAGGAGCAAGCCCCAGTTCTCTCATTAGTCCCTTGCTTTGAGCAAGTCACTTCAACTTCTGGACTTCAACTTTGTCATCTACAAAGTAAGATGCCTTATAAAAGTCTCCAAGTACCCCTCTAAAATGATGTACATTTTTAACAGGGAGGCTTTCCTCAGAGAAGGATGTTTTTCACATTGGGGAAAATTAAATACTGAAGCAGATTGTGGGATTTCTTTCCCAGACAAGCTGGAAGAAGGAGCTGGTTCAGCATCCAACTTACACAAACAATTTAATTTATATGTGCCAGGTACTCTGTTGTGAGCATATGCTCACTATTTCATTTCATCCTCATGGCAATCTATGAAACACACAGCATTATCATTCCTATTTTACAGACAAAGAAACTGAGGCTTGGAGGAGTTAAATTGCTTGTTCACAAGCCTACAAACAACAAATGCCAGCGCTAGGCTTTGAATGTGTGCAGATGGCCGATAGGTGTGATCTCCAGCACCGTACTCCATCATCTCCAAGCATAGGAGAAGTTCTGGGTCCTTTCCAAGGAGCCCATCATGTTCACAGTCTCTGGAGGGACCCAGTTTGCATCCTCCCAGACGTGTGTGAAAGGCAGGTGCTTGGCTAGTGTGAGAAACCAAAAGCTTTTGGCTCTCTCTTTACTCTGTGCCTTAGGTTTTGATATTCAGGGCTGAGAAGCATTTGTTTGGCAATTAATAATTCAATGCCTTGTGACAACGCTTCTATTGATGTCTTTATTGTTCAGTTTCCATTTGCCTATGGGTTTCCTTCATCTGTAGTACTAACTACATGTCATGTGCTATTCTATTCATTTTTTAAGTACCTTATTTCCCTTAATAGTCACCACAACCATTCAGGTAAAATTGTTATTTCCAATTTCCAGTTGAGAAAGCTGAAGTATGGAGAGAAATAAATTAAAATAATGCTCATAGGACAATGGCATTGAAAGCACATAAGACACCGTTCGCTTCTCATATCTTTCCGTGGTCTTCTATTTATTCTGTGCACTATTCCATCCTGTTATGATTTTTTTATTGCTTGTATCCAATGTGCTTGTTGATAGCTGAAACAGCAGTATGAGTATGAGGTGTTCCTATGTATTCAAATTAGAAGGGCCCAGGAAAGCTGCAGGAGCTGCCTGATCCAGAAAGACACAACATAATGCTTTTAAGGGTTAGGCACCAATTGACCAACAACGGCTG